GGGGATGGAGGACATGAGGACATGGTAGGGATGAAGGACACGGGGACATGGTGGGGATGGGGGACATGGTAGGGATGAAGGACGCAGGGACATGGTGGGGATGGGGGACATGGTGGGGACATGGGGGCAATGGGGGACATGGAGGACATGGGGACATGGTGGGGATGGGGGACATGGTGGGGACATGGGGACATGGTGGGGATGGAGGACATGAGGACATGGCGGGGGGGGGTGGACATGGTAAGGAAGTAGGTGGACGTGGGGACACAGCAGGGACAGGGAGGGCTGCTGCGGGGACAACCCGCGGGGACGAGAAGGACCAAGCTCCTCCCTGCGGCCCCCGCCGCGGCCCCCCCAGGCCTCTCAGACGCCGTCGACGCTGAACCCGGTGATGCCGGCGGCGGAGCGCACGGTGGCCTGGGTGTCCAACATGCCGCACCTCTCGGCCGACATCGAGAGCTCCCACATCGAGCGCGAGGAGTACAAGCTGAAGGAGTACTCCAAGTCCATGGACGAGAGCCGGCTGGACCGGGTAGGGACCACCGACGGACCCGGGCGTCCAGGGTGGGGGGGGCCAGGGGTCCCGGGGACCCAGGAGATGACCCTGATGACATAGGTCCTAGGGACCCAGACCCCAGGAGATGGCCCTGAGGGACCCAGGTGTCCAAGGCCCAGGAGATGGCCCTGATGGACCCAGGTCCTGTGGACCCAGGAGATGGCCCTGATGGACCCAGGTGTCCAGGCTCCAGGAGATGGCCCTGATGGACCCAGGTGTCCAAGGCCCAGGAGATGGCCCTGAGGGACCCAGGTCCTGTGGAACTAGGTGTCCAAGCTCCAGGAGATGACCCTGATGGACCCAGGTGTCCAGGCATCACCATGATGGGGACCCAGATGTCTGGGTGTCACCACAGGGGGGTTCCAGGTGTTTGGGTGACACCATGGTGGGAACCTAGATGTTGGGTCATCGCCATGGTGGGGACCAAGGTGTTTGGGTGTCACCACAGGGGGGTTCCAGGTGTTTGGGTGACACCATGGTGGGAACCTAGATGTTGGGTCATCGCCATGGTGGGGACCAAGGTGTTTGGGTGTCACCACAGGGGGGTTCCAGGTGTTTGGGTGACACCATGGTGGGAACCTAGATGTTGGGTCATCGCCATGGTGGGGACCCAGGATTTTGGGCGTCCCCCACCGTTGAGGGCACCCCGTCGTTGGGTCGTGGTGGGGATGGGGAGATGGTGCGGGCGCCCTGCAGTGTGGGCTGTGGCAGGTGAAGGAGTACGAGGAGGAGATCCACTCGCTGAAGGAGCGGCTGCACATGTCCAACCGCAAGCTGGAGGAGTACGAGCGGCGCCTGGTGTCGCAGGAGGAGCAGACGAGCCGCATCCTGCTGCAGTACCAGCACCGCCTGGAGCAGAGCGAGAAGCGCCTGCGGCAGCAGCAGGCGGAGAAGGACTCCCAGATCAAGAGCATCATCGGCAGGTGAGGGAGGGACCCGGCCCCGGGGACGGCGAGGGGACACCG